CCCCCAAAACCCCAAAACCCCAAAACCCCAAAACCCCGAAGAACCAAGATTTGCTAGATAATTATTTTTAATTATTTAACAACATGGAAGGAGCGTTTTTGGGGACTGACAAGCAACTCCAAGATATGTATCAGCTGTGCTTTAATATACCAAAGATTGAGCTTCATTCTCATATCGGAGGAAACCTGAGACCAGCTACTTTTCTTGAGCTTGCTGAAAAGGAAGGAATCAGTGTTGACCATATTGATTTTTATAATGTAACTTTGAAGGGAGCCTTTGACATATTTGCTGTTGTGGGAAAGATTCTGAATAGCTTAGATGTTCTTCAAAGAGTAATCAGAGAAATCGTTGAGGATTACTCGAAGACAAACACCAGATACCTTGAGCTAAGATCAGGCCCAAAAGCCTTTGGAGAGAATACAAAGGAAGATTATATTAAAGCAGTTGTTGAGGTTCTTGAAGAGTGTGAGACACTCTTTCCTCACATCACTGTGAGACTCTTGGTCAGTATCAATAGATCGGCTCCAATGGAATCCAATCTTGAAGCTTATGAACTAGCAAAGAAGTATATTGTAGATGAAAAGTGTAAATACATTGTTGGACTCGAATTTAGCGGAAATCCAAAGGACAATTCCTTCGAGGATTATTGCGAAAATATCTTTAACCCTGCTAGAGAGGCAGGCATAAAGATTAGTGTTCATACTGCTGAAATAGAGGACCATCATGAAGAGACTGAGAAAATTCTTGACTTTAAACCTGATAGACTCGGCCATTGTTGATACATGAATGAGGAGGAGTTCAAACGCGTTGCTGAGCTTGAAATTCCTGTAGAAGTATGTATCAGCTCAAATGTTGGAACTATGAACCTATCTACCATATCTCAGATAAAGCACATCCCTACTCTCCATAGTATGGGCTGAACTATAATCCCATGCTGTGACGATACAATGTTGTTCAACACTAATATGATAAACGAGACATTCGAGTTAGTAAACATGCTTAAACTAGAAGAAGAGGAGTTAAAGTCCATACTAAATAAAGGTATCGATGCTATCTTTGACGACGAAGTTAAAGCTCTTCTAGCATCTGAGACCTAATTCTGCTTAAAAACAGTAGCTAATCCTCGCTTCGGCATCACAGAAGAGTATGGATACTCTTCATCGCTAATACCCTCTATAATTAGCTGAACGGGCTAGTCTTTGGGACACAGTAGAAGAATTAGATGCAAAAGGAATTTAGCAAAAGGAGTTTTAGAGGAAGAGGAACGGCTCAATATTAGTGTTAGCAGGGGTTTTGGGGTTTTGGGGTTTTGGGGTTTTGGGG